TGTATGTCAGGAGGATGTATTTTATTCACTTATCTTTAGTTAATGAAACAAACAAGACGGAATGTGAAAAGGTGATGCAGCCCCATGTTGTCTACACATCACACACCTGGATGTGTCCAAATGAAGCAATCTGAGATGAGAACATGGAATGATACATTTTATAATCAATAAATTAATGAATATGAACTAATGAATATAATTTCAAATATTTAATTTCAATTGTAGTTTTAAAAGCAAAAGTACAATCATGTACTGTGTTATTTGTATCTTGTAATTAAGCGTGAAATGGATAATATTTAGTGTATACAACATATGCAATCTAAAATAGATACCTTGGAGAGAGTGAAGTAGGGCTGCAAAACCAGGAGGCACAAAGTATTGATGGGTGGGAGGTGGTGTACATTAGAACCATTGTGCGTGCAGAGGATGATTGAAGCTCGAGTTAATTCTGTGTGTGCCACTAAGTCTGATACGAATGCTGGTGATGATGTGGCCTGGCATTGTTGAGTGGCTGATCTAGCCCTCAGGTACTCCAGATGCAGTTGGGGAGACGAAACAGTCATATGAGCCCTACTAATCAATAGTTATTGAAAAAAAGTTAACCCCTCAGTTATTATAGTAATATTAAAACTCAAAAGATTAAATGCTTGATTAAATATCTATAGATAAGAAAATAAGAAATTAAATAAAAATTCACACAAGAATCATATAGTGAAAACATAAACAAATAAAATTTTACTCTACCTTCAATAACTGAGTTATTAACTCCTTTTTTTTTTTTTCAGAAGAAGTATTCCTAAATTACATAAAAAGAATCTCTAAAACAGGGGTTTGAAAATCTTGGTCAGCTTAGTGAGAATGTAGCAAGTTGTGAAAGAAGAGAATGATAAATCTATACACATTCAGCACTAACACGCCGTTGTCACGTTTGTCGCCAACGTCATCATCCCGTTCGTCACCGTCATCATCTCGTTCGTCACCGTCGTCATCTCGTTCGTCACCGTCGTCATCTCGTTTGTCAACGTCGTCACATTTGTTGTCGCCATATTCGTCGTCAACATCATCATTACATTTGTCATGGCTTTCGTCGTCGTCAGGCAACGTCAAGTATCAAAGCCAAGTTAGTGTAGAGACAAACAAAGTAGCAATTTGTAATTCTCCTTGCAAATTTGATTTATTTATTTATTTATTTTTCACTTGAAGAAAGGACATCAATCTTTATTTTGACAATTTGGATTGGAATTTTATGAAATATTGAATTTGCAAGAAAAGAAATATGGATTTGCATTGTTTTGTATTCAACTTAATAAAAATATTATTTTCAATATGATACACTTGTCTTTTATGTCTAAAACTTTTTATGCAATCAGCTAACTTAGTCATCTTTATTATGGGCTGAAATTTCCAAAATCTATAGTGCAAAAATGAAAAGAAGAAAAAGTTAGAATGTGTTGACCTGATCGGAAATAGTGCCAATTTTTTTAAAAAACTTCAATTGCTATAATATTTTAATTAGTAAGGTCAATTTTAATAAATTTTTGAAAACCATCTATCATAATAATTTATTTAAAGATCTTATAGTTAAATTTAGAAAATAATGATTTTATAGTCATTCATATTTTTTGCATTGGAAATGGTAATTTTAGAGTATTTTTTGGTGAAACATAGTCAAGGAACTTTAAGGGCTAAGAATGCTAGTAGAAAAATTCGAAATGGCATTAGAAATTATATAGTCACCTACAATTAGCCTCCTCCACTTCTTAGCTCTCTTATTTATCTGACCACCACAATGTAGTGTTTCACCGCTTTCATACAAGATGAGACAGATGCAAAGGAGTTGGCTTACATAGGAGTGGTGTGTGGTGAAGAATCTCCATCATCATCACTCAACTTGTGGATCTCTTTGTACCATATGCAAAACCTTTGATCAACTCTATGTGGTGCACCTCAATTCTTAGCTGTACCACCAAGCATGTTCTCAGAAACTTCGTACCATGGCCACTTCGGCAATGTTGCACCGCTAGCTCCTTGCTTCTCCTTCTTTACTCCATACCTTTGCTTCATCCTTGACCATTTGTCTTTGTACTATAACCAACTTCTCTGAGATTCTTGGAAGAACTTTACATTCAACTTTGTTCCAAAGTTTACCAAATACTTTTCTTTAAAAGGCTTCTGCTCATATTCCTAGTACTTGTCTATGCACAAAGTGAGGAAATTTTCAGTACTCTCCTTTGTCCATTTTTTCACAAGCTTCTCTTCTTTAATCCCTAAAAATCCTTGACTATTCCTCATCAAAAACACTCCAAAATTGCACATTCTAGTCTATTGAGTATAAATCAAATAAAAAAATCTTTATTTATATTCCAACCATAGAATCTTGATTCAAACTTCATAAAGAACAAGCTCTCAAATTTTCATAAAAGTTGATTGTGTAGATTGGAAGATAATAGTGTTTGAAGTGAAGAATTTTTTTTTTTCTCTTTGCATTAAGAGGATCAACTAACTTTGAAAATGCATCGTGTCAAGTTTTTGCATTATGTATGGTCAAATTTTTATACCATTATCGTGATCATGATGTTAATTCCTTGTACACCAATTTTTTAGGTAATAGAAGGGTTTAGCATTTTCAAAAAAATTATGCAAGGAACAAAGGTTCAAATTTGCCAAAATTCATTTTGATTTATTGTAAACTAAATATTTCATAAAATACAATCCAAACGGACAAAACAAAGATTTATACCACTTTCCAAGTTTTAAAAAATAAAAATGAAAAAGAACAAAATCTCTAATTTTTATGAAGTTTTTTTGATATCCTGCCTAGCTTAAAAAAAAAAAAAAAAAAAAAAAAAAAAATCTATATATTTAATTATAACTTTTGACTTACAAATCCGATCCCGTAAAAATTGCACTCCTACAAGGTACATACTTTTTCTCATCTTACAAAAAAATTCACCTCTATAGGACTTAAATTGAGATTATATACTTGTCCAATAGATCCAAAAGCCCACCTTAGGACTTTGGATTTTTAGGGGTTAATCACTTCAGAAGGCCCACTCTCATCACAAAACATCAAGTCCAAAAGCCCCCCTACATGAACATATACCATGATAATACCCTAGACTTGCATATGACGTAACAGACACAAATATATAGAGCATTATAAATACCATGTGATCAAACTCAAGAAAACTTGTAATTATTGTCGTGTTGTGGTTCGGCTACTATATGAAAATAATGTAATTGTGTACTTAGTATATAATTTACTAAGTAACATGGTGAAAGCCATATTAGTAGATTTTAGTTGGTTGTAGAATATAATTTAATTATTACCTTGAAAAGAGGTTGTTTAAAAAAATTACTATAGAATTTGTATAACTTTGATTTCTTTTGATAGTGGTTTTGATTGATAGTAACTTCTAAATATTTAGAGTCACCGTTGTTAAACATTAGTGACCTTTGAAAACTTATTTTGGTTCTCTTTTTTGGTGTTTAGAGCATAAATTATGTAAATTCTATAAGAAAAAGAGTTGAAGAAGGGTTTTAGTAGTAAAAAGAATTTAAGGCATCTACATAGATGAATGGAGATGGATGATGAAAATCTCCATTTCTATTGGTCAAAAATTATTATCAATAGGCTTTGAGGAGGCTACCTGAGGCCATATTAGAAATTAGGGTTAGTTTTTCAGGACATTTGAGCTTTGAAGGCTAAGGTCAGCAAGTTTAGGTTTTTGGTTATGATTTTGGTGCAAATTTTGTATAATTTGGAGTTTATATGAAAGAGATATAGGCACTCAAAGTTAAGGTGTTGTTTTGGGAGCTAATGTCACTATTTTTGACATAACGCATGCGTACAAAGGGCAATTGAGGATGGGCAACTACAACTAGAAAGAGCACTTTTGCGGCTACATTTTTTGCATACTGCTTGTTAGATTCCAAGTTGAAGTGAAAGTGTTATTGGATTTTGAAGTCTGCACATGCAATCTAAGGGTAGTAAGTGACTTGATTTACTAGTGGTTGTGTCTTGAGCTATAACTTGAGCAATTTGACAAGGTTTTGGCTCAAAATTTCAAAGAATGTGTAAATTCATGTCAATAAACTTTGTACATAAGTTTGATGACATTTGAGTATTGAGTTCTTAAGATTTTAAGAAAATAATGCTCATGTGCTTGTAAATTAGGGTTTAGAGCATCTGCTAGGATTTCTTAGATGCCAAAAGATCAGAAGTGAATTTGTAGTTAGTTTTTTTAGTGGTAAAAGTTAAGGATGAATTCTACTTATCCTATAAATTTGATACAAACCTAACAGTTATGTCAAGAGTTATGAATATCTAAAGTTTGAGAAGAAAAAACCCTTCGCAAGAAAAATATATTTTGAAGAGATTTTGTTATATTTTGAATTTTATGCAAATCAAAGGAATTTTGGAAGCTAAGACAAGATTGATATAAAAATTTAAGCTAAATTCTCTACACCTAAATACACAGTGTATTCCGAGCTAGCAAATCACACTATACAACATTGCACAAAAGAAGGAGTATCAAAGAAAATAAGAGAAAAAGAGAGGTGTTGGACTCGCTGGAGGTTGCTTGAGATGTTGGACTTGTTGCTGGGAGAGATGATATGTAGTGAAAAGGTAGTGGTGAAGTTTCGTGGGATAAAAAGACTCTGGTGAAGTTTCGTGGGGTAAAAAGACTCTGGTGAAGTTTTGCTATTAAAATCATGTTGGGGTCCGAACCCAACAGGGCATCAAGCTGTGGCTGTTCCGTTGAGGGAGGCAAACTCGACCTTAAGCTCGCTCATATGGATGCAAACGGGCAAGATATTGGGGTGTAGATATAGAAGGCGGGCCCCCACCAAACAACCCAATGCTGAAATCTCACGTTGTGATGTGAACCCAACAGCCATCGGGCCACCTCCGTTGGGGCCTCAGGGTTGCGAATCCGCACGCAACGGACGTGGATTTGCACCCAACAGCCTCCCGTTAGCACCCAACGGCCTCCCATCTGCCCCATGATGGAGGTGGATTGGGCCCCAACCCAGCCCCATTCGCATCCATGTGCGTGCGCTTTCTGACATGTATGGTGTTGTCGGTATATTTCAGGGGCGAGGTAGGAGTGGCCTTCACGCATAAGCTGACCCGCTCAACAGCTTGGTCCGAAAGTTTAGCTCTGTCAATTCAATCGGAAACTAATATCACCCCCTCCTTGGTCCGTATGTCGGATGTCGGAGCATGATTTATACCTGTGCAGAATCCAAGAGGCATCCAGTAGAAACCCATCGTTCCATATCCATTCCACAAACATGGCGGCCACTCTCCGAAACCACAGAGGTGGGCTGGCGCTGCGAGGACCCATGATAGATGACGCAGGGAGGGAATTTGGGGCGCATATTCGGGATTCAACTGGCACGCCATACCACATCACTCTCCTCACAAAAGAAGAGTATCGCTCAAAAATTCAAACCACTCCGACCATTCCTGTAGATCATCTTTACTTCCTGGGCCTCGGCGGCGCGGAAGGGAGCGGCGTGTACTGGGTAGTGTGCACATGGGCAGCCGGGGCGGCGTGGCGGAAGACGCTCAACCTTCCTCCAAAAGACTTCCACATCACGCTCACGAGCAACGATGTGCACAGCGTCGCCAAGGACGCGTCTTCGCTGCTGAACCCCTCCGAGCTCGTGGCGGCGTTTCCGAGCTTCCCTCCGGAGAAGCAAGACAATGTGCTGCACCATCTGCACAGCATCCGCAGCGACCTCACGCTCCCGCTCGCGATCCCGCGCGCCATCGCCAACCCGGGCGCGGCGAAGGATTTTTTGCGGGTGGGAGACGCGAGTCTGGGAGTGAATCCCAAGCTGTCCATGCTCGCGTACCAGCGCGCGCTGTTGCTCGACCCGTCCTCGCAGCGCTACGTCGAGCGTCGCCTCCGCAAGCTCAGTGCTCTCACTCAATACGGCCCCATGATGACGGCTGCGGAACGCGAAACCATCGCCTGCGACATCCTCATGGAACCGTGGTGCGCCGAAGCGCGTGAGATCGGCCACCATCTCTACCCTCTCGAGGCGCCACCCGCGGCGCTCGCTGTCGACTCGCGGGAGCGGCTATGGTGCGGTGACTACGAGTTCCCGAGATTCTTCTCCTGGATCGTGCCCTTCTTCCTGGCCGGGATGTCCACGCCGCGGAACGAGCGAGACGTAGATGCACTCGCGGACCTCGGCATCAACCGCGTCCTGACGCTCACCAAGGAGGAGCCGCTGCCGACGGCGTGGTTCCGGTACAAGGCGGTGCAGAACGTGTTCCTGCCGGTGGAGAATTACAAGGCGCCCACGTTCAAGGAGGTGGACTACTTCCTCGACGCGGTGAATGAGGATGAGACGGTGTGGCTGGTGCACTGCGGCGCGGGGAAGGGTAGGGCGGGGACGTTCCTCGCGTGCTACATCGCAATGCACGGGTTCCAGAAGCCGGCGGCGGCGTCGTCCGGTGCGAAGCCGGTCCTCGATGGGGGAACCGTGATCCGGTGGCTGCGCGCGATACGGCCGGGCTCCATCGAGACCGCAGAGCAAGAGCGATTCGTCGCGAGCTGGATCAGCTACCGGTGGAAATCCAAGGCAGATGAGCTTCCGGAGCCAATCGGCGCCATGCGCGTCGAGGGGCGCCTGCTCGAGCGCGCGGCGCTCATCCTCCTCGTCGGGCTGCCGGGGAGCGGCAAGAGCTGGCTGAGCGCCGCGCTCGCGAAGCGCGTCGGCGCGGAGGTTGTCTCGCAGGACGACAGCGGCTCCAGAGACGCGTGCGAGAGGGCGATCTCGCGGTGCCGGAGCGGCAAAACGGCGATCCTCGACCGCTGCAACGCGTCCCGCGACGAGCGCCGGCAGTGGCTGGCGCTCGCCGACGTCGGAGAGAGCGCCGTGGCCGTCTACTTCGACGTCGACGCCACGATATGCACCCAGCGAATCAATCGTAGGATCCACCACCCGACGATCCGACCTGGACGCTCCGACAACGCGATGGCGCAGATGCAGCGCCTCATGAGCAAGCCATCCCGCGACGAAGGCTTCGCTGCCGTCGTCACGGTCCCCTCATTCCCAGCCGCGCGCGACGCCGTGCACGCGCTCGGCGGCACGCCGCCGCTGCGCAAGTTCCCGCGCACGCCGCACCTGATCGACCTGGGCGCCGCGACGGGCGACGACCTCGTGGCGCCCTCGTTCCGCTCCTCCACCCCCTTCGTCGTCGTCGAGGAGAAGGTCGATGGCGCGAACTTCGGAATTTCCCTGGACTGTAACGAAACCCTCGTCGTTCAGAACCGGAGCCACACCGTGAACTCGCTCTCGCACACCCAGTTCCGCCCGCTCGACGCGTGGCTGCGCACGCACGGGCCCGCGCTCCGCGCGCTCCTCCTGCGCGACGCGCAGTTCCCCGAGCGTTACATCCTGTACGGCGAGTGGCTCGTGGCGACGCACTCCATCGCCTACCTCACGCTGCCCGATATCTTCCTCGCGTTCGACTTCTACGACCGCGTGACGGACACGTTCGCGTCACGCGACGCGCTCTCGCGGCTGCTGCACAACACGGGCATCCATCAGGTGCCGCTCGTCTGGAGATCCGTGCAGGGCGTCACGCGGAACGAGCTCGTGGCTATGGCGTCGCGGAAGTCGGCGTTCTACGACGGGCCCGTCGAGGGCGTGTATGTCCGGTTCGAGGATCCGGAGCGGATGGTCACTGTGGATCGCGGCAAGGTCGTGCGCGTGGATTTTATTGCTGGGAATGAGCACTGGAACAAGGGCGGGTTGCGCCTCAACGCCATCACCGAATGCTCGTGAAACTGCGTCTCTTCCGTTCCCACGCTCGCAGGATCTGATTATGAGTTCGTAATCTGCGTCCTCAAGCTAATTATGAGTTCGTGATCTCCGTCCTCAAGTTTGGCTTCATGTGAGTTGAACAAGCAGGTTCATCCTCGAGCTCAGCTTGAATCAACTCCATCCTCACGCTCTTACAGGAACTGATTATGAGTTCATAATCTGCATCCTCAAGCTCTTGCAAGAACTAATTATGAGTTCATGATCTCCGTCCTCGAGTTCAGATTTATGTGAATCGAACAAACAAGTTCATCCTCGAGCTCAGCTTGAATCAGCTCCATCGTCAAGCTCAACCCTGGGCCCCTGGACCTTAAACCCTGGACTCCATCCTCGGCTCTTGAGACTTGATCTACTGCATCTTCAAGTTCAAAATTGGATCCACAGGGAACTTTGGCCGGGTCACCATGGGGTAACCTGCGAAGTCACCCACGGATGGCCTGGCCCCAACGCACTCGGGCACATGAGGCCGCGTGCGACCTGAACGAGGCACATATCGGGCCATCACCCACCGCCAGGTGGACGAATTAAATTGTCTCCCTACACGCATGTTCTGGCAAATGTAAAAGAAATCTTGAAGTTATGAAAGTAATGAGCAGTGTATATACCCTAAAGTGCATGTGATTATTGATGTAGAGATGTCCATGGTTTTGGAGGTAGTGAGCTCAAGAGATGTTTGTGTGATAAGTACGTTCTTTCTTTATGCTTGCTTCAATTTTCTTTTGGTTTTTGGTTGAATTGTAATTGATGTAAATTGTTTATAAAATTATTTGTAAAGCCATCCAAAATTACAATCAAATGTGGGTCTATTATTTTCTAATACTACTTTGTTCTTGCTTTTAATAGCTACTAGATATGGAAGAGCATGGTGGTCCCTACAATAAATTAAAAATAGTATTAGTAGCCTTTGAAAATGAAGAAAGAGAGGTCATATTGTACCAAAAATTCATGGATTCTTAGAAAAGCTCCTTGGATGCTAAAGGATTAACCTATAAGTATTAGGGCATCAGTTTTTAATGCCTAGTTTATAGCCCAACCAAGTTGAAACAACACCATCCACAAATAAATTCTTGAAGGTAATTACATTTTTTAAATTTCTAAATTAATTCTTCATGTTGTGAACCTCTATTCCTAAAACTGCTTGCCATAGTAGTAAAATATTAGCCACCATTCTACACCATGGTATAGATTATTTTTTACTAATTTTAGTGACATGGATGTTTTTCATTGAATGGAATGTTCTCCATTTTTATTTGTACTTTTGGTTTTAAAAAACTATAATTCTTCTCTCGCCTTTGAATTAGTATGAAATTTCTTAACAAATATTTTAGTTGTAATGATAATTTTAAATCGTCACAGAAAATTTATCAGGACTGCATGGGGCACAATAGACAAATACTTTCATCAATCATTAACCTATAAAGGACAAATGGGTTTTTTGAGAATTCATGTAGGTTCTTCTGATGTCAATTTTGAGTGTAATTTTTAAAGATTCTTTTTGAGGTGGGGGATTGTACGAGCTTTGCAAGGATATTTTTTCTGAATCAAAAAATTGATGAAAACATTATGCTACCGAAAGTGGTTTTTCTGGGATTTTGGGCAGTTTAAACAAGTAGCCAACATGCAATTCTTTAAGAATTTAAAAAAAATGATAAATAAATAAATAAATAATCTTTCTGTAGTGCAAAAATTTCACTACAAGAGGAATAAAAGTTTCTAGGCATTGTTCAAAAATGAACTTTCCATCTTTCACATTTATAAGCAAAAAAAAAATTGAGATTTTCCTTTCTTCTTTTTTTCCTACCTCTAGAAGGAAAAATAGTCTCCAAGTTCAGCACTTGGATTAGGATTTTATAGTGCATTGAATTCACAAAAAAATAAAATTTATTTGGCTTCATTTTAGACCCCTTTCTATTGCAAGATTTATTTGGATAGGCTTAATGCATTTACTAAATCTAAAATTTTGTGCACAATTACTTTATATCATATGAATTGTGATGACCTGAAGAGTGGCAACTTTGCACAGCTCAAAAAATTATTTTATCAAGAACACATAGTGTGCTGACCCTATAAAATCAGGGTGCAAAAACATGATTTATATTACTTTCAATGCTATAATCTTCCAATCTAAGCAGTCAAAAAATATACAAAATACTGCATATATCATGCTAGTGGTCTTCAACAAGATCTAACGGTTAGAAGTGAAAAAAGATCATTAAATAAGAATATGTGCTAACCGCACTAAAAATTATAGTGTTGAACTTTTAAAAAATATATATATATAGTCACTGTCCTTTGGGAGTTAATTTAACAATGAATTTTTTTATAGTTATAATGTAAAAATTGGATGCAAGTGTATGGCCTAGACCCATGGTCATCTGTCCATTGTCTGAAGGTTAATTTTTTATTTTCTGGAAATCCGGTGTAGGCTGCTTGAATTCAGATCAATGTATGGGAAATCCAGCAATTGGTGTAAAATTAGCCCAACCGAATGGACAAATCTCCAATCCAAATTCTTTGTTATAAGCCAAAATCCAACTGAAATTGACGTCTTTGGATGTTGCCTAAATGATATATTTATATGAAACTCATTATCACCAATTACCCCAATACCATGAACTAGATCTATATTGAGCCACTCAACAGGCCTCTCTAAAACCACCAAATTCAGGATTTGAAACCACCAAGTCCATGATATGAGGGTTGAGTTGAACAATTGGATTTGCAAAATGCTCCTCATTTTCACAGAAGCTTGCTTTGCAATATGGGCACCACTTTGGTAATTTGAGAAGAGTCTAGTTATTAGTTCTGGAGTTTAGAGTAGAATGAAGGGTTTTAAGTGTTCTAAATTCCATTATTACAGATACAATTCCTAAAAAATCATAGTATATTTTAACCTTCTTTCTCTACATAAATCTAATTTTTCTCATATATAGCTATTGAAGATTCCAAGCTATTCCATAGGTTGGTGGTTACAAGACATCTGATGTGGTAAGTGAGTTTCTATTTGGTTCTAATCAATGCAACAAACAATATCACTTGACAAACCTACTCGCTTCTCTTGGCATAATTTTTCCAGTTTTATGTTGTCAATTGTGGGGCATGATTCTAATGTAGTTATGTCAGGGGACTTCAATCACATCATACCTGTTTATGAAAAAATGATGATGGGGGAGACTTTGATGATTTTGCAAGTCTTACATTACAGAGAACAACAGACATTGAAAGGAGGGATTTCCACAACAACAAATAATTATCCTACTTTAATTTCAAAATAGTAATTCAAAAACAATTTAGGGTCAAAATAATTTAACACAACATTAATCGCCTAATGTACCTTTCAATTTCTATTTAATATTCTAGGATGCAAACTATCAATAGGATCATGCGGAATGTTATCAAACATTTCATATGCAATCATCATGCCTTCCCTAGATGTTCCATGATGACAAGGTCCTGTTTTCATGAATTTCCACAACAAAGGACTCAGAGGCCTAATGCCATCCTCGTGGCATCCAATGATTCGAACTGTATAGATTAAATTCATACCAGTGATGGGTTCTATGTATTGAGGGCCTCTTTCAGCTTCTACCTTGCCCTCTTGCCTCCCACCATAATTCAATATGGGATAAAGGTAATAATAATCCACATAAAAAAAAAAACATGAATTTGTCCTTCGAAATTAATATAGATAAATTCTCAAATTTTGGCTTAGTAGATTGTACCACTACATCATCCCCAATCTTGTAATAGATACCTCTGAGCATTTATTTCTTGATATACCTTATGAATATAGGTATTCCAGCATTCTCTTCCAAAATAGTTTTTTAAATAGTTGGTTGTACGAGCATCAGCAATGACGGGTCGTGTTCTCTTTTGGTGTTTGCTTCCAATCAATATTCCCTTAGTTTCTGCTGCACTTGTACAAGGACTTTGTCCCACAATGTTCAACATTTTTGTAATATCTTTTGCAATTATTTCTGAATGACATTGTAGGATATAATCACCATGCCACTCAGGACAATTAGATTAAATATTGTTATCACTGGCAGTATATTTGTAGGAAGTTTTAGGGACTCATGTATTTTTGTGAATAATCTTTTGGATACACTTAGCCCATCTCTCTCCACACCTACATACATCTCTGCTTCTTGAAATTGTTTTCATGCATAAAACTTTATAAAAGTCTCCTCCACTTGTTTGTCATTTGAGTGTATGTTTTGATAAGTTTTTACCTCTCGTTCATAAGGGTAACACCAATATACGTCACTATGTCCAAAATGTTCGACATTGTCGAACAGGTGCCCCACTCCAGCAACAAGCTCCAATGGCTGACCATTTGGCCCAAAAAGGTCCTCTAAAAGCATCCGCCAAGTTTGAAATAGCAAACGTACTCTGTAGAGAGTACTTGTACTCCAACCCAAAATGCAGGTATAATTAAAAATATAATGAGTTATATCAATTAGACATAACCCCATTTGTAAAAATTGAGGATCCATCTCATTTTCAAAAGTATATAAGATTCCTGGCAAAATCCATTGTATGAATTTTTGATTCTCCTCAGCCTTGTATGAACCATAATATTCTGCTACATTTGTTGGCCATTGCCCTTCTTTTAATTCGCTAGGTCATGATGCTTTAATGGTTAAACATATTCCATTCATTTTGTTTAACTTGAATATGTCATTGCTAATCCACTCAAACAATTTTGCAATGTATGTCTTGAATAAATTTAATCCTGCCACATGCATAGCATATGATACAATGTCTTGGGACATGTCAAATCCATACATGTGGTAGAACTTCCACAACGGAGATTCCCCAATGATGCCCGTTGCTTGACTGAATCTTTTACATGCACCCCTTGATGAATGAGGAATTCGGTTTAAATTACATACGCTTGCAAAAAATTCTTTAGAGGTTTGTTTCTGAGGCATGATATGAAATTGCTCATGGTTTTTCCCACACACATAGGATGGAGCTCTAGCATTGGATAGGGCAGCATGCATCTTGCATTGTCTGCCTGCAGACCTTCCACTTTGCTTCAATTTTGCAATTTTGCACTGAGCAGGGTGGTCCCCAGTCACCAACATCAAAATCCCTCTAATGTTCACTTTTCCAGGTAGACATGAGAGGTGTTCACTGATAAGAGAGGGGAATGTCATAATTGATTTCTTGACATTTACGAGGCCAAAGGCACCAAGGTGAATCTCGGCCAAGTTGTTTTCGTGACGTTTCAGATACAAGTTGGCTTGAAGTATGTCTTTTTGTACCGATTGTCTAATTTGTATTTTGTATTCAAGCCTTGTATAGACTGTACGGATCAAAATACATGGTACTAATTGACTACTGTGGCACTGGTCCACTTCCAATGCAGACAAATTAAGGTCCAAGGACATTCCGAGACACGCGAGTGCACAGTGCTCACCATCTTTCACCATCTTTCACCGTTTCACACGTGCCGCTTGCACGGTCTCAAGTTACGGCTTGAGAGATCAACAACATATATTACCCGAAACGGTTCGTCGAAACCTCGATAGGACTGCTTCAGTACGTGCTTCCATTTTACGTACGCAAGTCGGAAGTTGTTAACATGTATACAGTAGTGGATTTCGGTACAGGGCAATTACATGTGTACTGGAAGTGAACTTGAAGCAGTGGTCGGCGTATGATGTTGTTGGGAAGTACTAGACTTTCTGACAGCAGTCACGGCAGGAAAAGTCTGTCTCATAGTGAAAGATCCAAGTTTCAGACTCCAAGGATTTAGGTTTCTCAATCCTTTGTGACTGATCACAATATATCCGGGCAGGTGTCTTCTTAACTTTTGAAGTTTAAGGTTTCTTAACCTTAATGTTGACAGTAGCAGCCCAGGCATCATCTTCTTGTGCGCTTAGTCGAGCCGCACTTTGAAAGTAGTAGAGGTGTATACGCCTGGCACCAGAAATCAATCAGATTCTTGTCAACTTGTCAGCAACCTGAGCTATCCAACGCGTGCTGATGCACGAGTGATGCTTGGGCTGGATTTTGGGACAACATTCTCGGGATTTGGATATGCGCACCGGAGCGATCCAACGGAAGTGAATGTGCACTACGAGTGGCCAGGGTCCACGAGGGCAAAACCCTACTGTAAAACGCAGACGGCTCTCTACTACAAACCGACACGAACAGGCCTGCAGTTTGATTCGTGGGGATGGCAAGCCCAGCTGAATTACACCCGAGATTTGGACTTGGTGCAACGAAAGAAGGCTGCAGCGAATACGATAGACGAGCTTGTTACGAGATTCAAGCTCCATCTCGCAGACCAGAAGTCCGGACCCTTTTCTCCTTTCTCCTGAGCCACTAAAGAAATATCTATTTTTCAAAATTAGGGCATTGTCAAGCCAATAGTAAAATTTCTACAAAGGGAATTGCAAAGCCTTTTTGAAGATGCTCCTTGAAGAGACGATGTGTATATGGATGTTTCCTACATATCTTCACAATTGATTTCCAAAAATTTATCACCAATCTTTTACAATGAATTATTATGTAAATCCATGAAAATTAAATGAAAAAAATATACCAAAATTGGAGTTTTGGTTTTTTGAAGTTGTCGTCGTATTGGAGCCTAATCGTCAAAAAATCGTCAAAAAACTAGCAGCTTCTCGTTATCGATGCCCTTGCACTTCAATAATTTGGCACCTCAAAGCTGGATGAGCTGCTACTACTGCAGTCAATCGAGATGGTCCATTCAGTTATAGAAACCAAAATGCCATAGAACCAGTGATAGCGTAACAAACAAAACATGGAAGTCTCCGTCGATTAAACATAGTTTAGAAACTGCGCAGCTCATGAAGGTTCACATACAACAAAAGGACATGTGGAGACTTGGAGAGAACTATTGAACACGTATGCAAAGCGACCTCATCATCATCTAGAACTTATAGCTCTAAAAAATACCCAAAATATATATATATATATATATATATATATATATACGCTCATCTACTTCTATACTTATATATATGTGTGTGTATACACACATATAGGTATATGTAAAGAGATATTAATGTATATATACACATGTATACATAAATTTCAAAACAAGAGAAAGGAAAAATAAAGGGAGGGTTATATAAATATATTTAAAAAAATGGAAAGAAAGGGAAAAGAGAAGGACGGGGACGATGGAGGGAGGAAGCTGACATAAAGTATAAAAATAAAATAGAAGATACAAGAACGACGGAAAAAACATAAAAATTAAAATATATATATACATGCAAAGAAATGGAAAGAACCCTAAACCTGGTATGCGCAACCTCGGCGTCAAATGAGCCCTTGAACCACTGAAACACGAGCTCATCTCTTGACTGCTCATGGAAATTGGTGAGAAACATTGGACCGGAAATACGCTGTGGTTGCGATTCAGAGCAGTAGGGACGACTGGGGTTTCATGGCCGGCTAAAACCTCCCCAGACAAAATGGTAGGGATGACTGTTATCCAGGACTGGGTCAGAAAGCAAGGTTTGAGCAAGCTGCCATGGTTGGATTCGGGCACTCCTCTGGCGGCAACTTCACGTCCATGATCACGCCCTTCCCACGCAGGCCCACGAAAATTAGTCTGCTCCCTTCTACAGCCATTAACAGAATCAAATGTTCGTAGATTACGTGTCATTGATCTTTGTTGGAACTTCCATGAATATCATGCATGCCGTCATACTACGATGCGCCTATTGGAATGTGCATCCAAGCGTGACAAATTGTTGCCCAATGGGTAGGCATATGATAGAGAGAGAGCTTGCGGTGAGGTTGCATGAGGTAAAACTGGATGTCCGAATTCGAAGCTAGGTCGATGGATTTTAGCAACGTCCTCCATTAGGATGAAGCATGTTACAAAGATAAGGCATAGTGACACCTACACCCATAAATATTTTAAATGTGTTGGTTTTATAAATATATTTATTGTTGCACAAATCATATTAAGCAGAAAGTAGAAAAGATTGTAAAGAGTTTGTTTTTGTTTTTAAAATAATAATTGAAATCATTATTATTGTTAATTAATATAATAGATTTAAGAAAATATCACAAATATAACATACCATGTTGATACTATATGCGGAAGTAGTCTATGATAAAGAAAGACCTAAGACTAAATAAGAAATATAATAAGTTATCTAAAGGAGCTATAAGAGAATATAATGGAAGTATTAGGGAGATATGGACAAAATGGTTGGCTATTTCCAATAAAGGTTCAATTTGAAGAAATATTATTACTTTGATATAGTACAAACCATTCTAATTTCATAATAAGAATAAATCCTTAAAAAAACTTTATTAATTCTATTATTGTAACCATTAAATTATTATTTTTTAAAAATGTATCATTGTCTCTTATTTTATTAGGACTATATTAATTGTGGAGGTTTTTAAATGTGACTATAAATACTAAAAGTCACTATAAAGAAATTCACATCAATGAGCAAATGCATTGAGAATTATTTTTTATTTATATATGTGTATATATATATATATATATATATATAGAAAAATAATTCCATATACTATATTATTATCTCTATATTAAACTTCTTAAGAAAATTATACATTTCAATTATACAATTTATTGCTTGATGACAAGGTTATGTAGAATTCTAATACATTCTTTAAGTTTCTAATGCTTTAATTTCCAACTTTTATAATTCTAATAAACTAGTCAAATAAAGTAAAGCTAGTTGTTATGTGATTTACAACCAAGCTTAATGGCATATTTGGAGAAGATTTGGACAACTATAAAATATTGAAATTTTAACATTGTGTAGCTATACAATTAGTTACTAGATAGAAGATAGAAGTGATTTTTATTAATTTGATTGAACACAAAAGTAACTGAGATCAACTACAATCATTTGTCAAATTGGTATTTTTACTTTGCAATGTAGCAAAAAACCAAAGACTATCTATTATTGATTAGCTTAAATAAAACTAAAAGCAAGTATTTAAGATTATAAGCAAAATAACAAAGGAATTTAAATACAAGCTTTAACATGATAAGTTTGAGAAGAATTTATGTATACATATACATAGACAATTTATTAATTTGTTATACAACTTAATATGAAAATATGTATATGTGTGTGTATATATATATATATATATATATATATATATATGCTAAATTTTAAGTAAGATATGAGCTACCACTAATATAGTTATATAATTGATGGCATATAATGTATACTAATTTTTTTTTTTTATTTTACACATTTAAGAAGCTTAATAAAGTCTATTTTTTTTTTTAGTTTTAGTTTTAGTTTTTTAATGAGTTGATAATAATTTGAAACCTAAAATTTTCAATTTTCAATTAATATGTTGGTATATATTATATTTTCACAATTAAAAAAATAAAATAATACAATATTAGCCACCAATATCTTGGATTCTAAATTTTTTATTGATTACATTTTTAATAAAAATATATATATAATAGCTTTGGTAATGACTTTTTATTTTGTTTCTTACAATTAAGCTCACTTAAGAGCGTTGAATAACCAGATGCCATGGTAAAATATTTAGATTAATGTTCTTTAATTTTATACTAAAAGAACTTTAACCTTAATTGACCTATTTAAAATTGATTTGGTACAATTTTGTATCTATGAGTATCTCTATAGATAATTGAGTATAAAACTGTTTAAATTTAATATCTTTGTACAATAATTTTTGAAAGTGGTACTTACAAGTGTGGAAATATTTAGTAGTTCATCCTAGTTGCTTTAAAAAAAAATTATTTCGTGTAACAATCGAAAGTCTTCAGTTCTATTGTTGGAACAACGCAACTGATATTATAACTTGATAACAAATACTACTCAGACATTCAGATCCAACAATCTGATCACCTGTAATCGACCACAAAACAGCACATGCACTTCATGCTTCTTAAAAGTATTTCTAAGAAAATAATTTGATCCAAATGCACCAAGACGCTAAATGCAAACACACAAAATGACACATCCATGAATATCTTCTATAAGAAACAATGAAGACATTAAAAAAGGGACATAAACAAACCATCTTACTGGCCGAAAGTTTACACGGACATTCACAAGAAATGTTGCAAAGGTAGGGACTATTTGGAGTCCAAAGCAAAGATATCTCTGACGCACAAAATTAACTGAAGTACACAAGAACCATCTCTACTCAACAGCACAAATTTCCAGAAGTATTCAATAATATAAATTAACATTCAGAAGCAATGCGCATGGAGCTTTTGGAATCACTTCAAAACAGCTCACATTTGATGATAATCTGCTTGAAGTTCTGTTTTCACATCCTGGTCTTCTGAATCAACACAACATGTCAACTCAACTCAAAGCACTTCATCGGCATTTCGTTATTGCGATGTTTGCATGATGATCGCTTCTACCAGTTCTAAATCATCTTATCCATGTCCACAAGAACCTCTCACCATGGACTATAGCCGTGTTTTGGTGGATGCAAAGAACATGTACACAATAACCTAGCATTCCTGTGTGTATGGCACCACAGTCTACAAATACATTAGCCTAGAGAAGGATTTGTGCATATCTTATCACCAATGCTTGACCAAGATGCTGCAGTTGGCTCTCCGTGCAGCAGGTCTGTTGAGCATAACGAGGTCCACACAAGCTCCATTTCTGCTTTGGAGTCATCGGTTTCACACTTGTGACTAGCTGGTCCACTGAAGGCCTCAGCAGAAGTCTTGACGAAGTACGAAAAACATATATAAAACACCGTACGATTGTCGCTGTGTGAGCGGTTGGAAGACGATGAGTGATTCTCCATTGTCGGATAATCCTTCATCAGATTTTCTCTCCAAAGTCATCTTCAGGTACTCGAGATGTGACGCAGATCGAATCAAAAGATTGTTGCAGGAAAATGGCAATTGTGGAGGTAGATTGAATTGTCATCATTTTATGAATTGTGCACCATAAAGGAAGCGCCAGGACTGCCCATCATCCCCCCATCGAAGGCCTTGCCTCCAGGGGTCATGCAGGAGGGTGGGATGGTGTATGAGGAAGGTCTACGAATGGTTTTACCGCATGGGGATAAAATAACTTGAGATGAGTAAAGGGAAGATCCACCCTTCGAGGGCTTCGCTCCAGATGTGTTGGCATTGAGAGACGTGGGCTTGAAAATCGAAGGACCAAGGTCAAGCTTGCTGAAGAACTGTAGCGGAAGTTCCAAGGATTCTGGACACGCAGGTCGTTGTTGGCGGAGATGTTGGGGTTGCTGCTGCTGCTGCTGGTTATAAAGCTGTCGGAGTCTGTGGACCTCCGTCTTGAGACTTTCAGAGCGAGCTGTGGATAAGATTTTAAAAAGAAGTTCAGCAAATTCTTTACTGCTTTTAAACATGAGCAAGTATCAATACTTGCTCTGCTTTGATTAAAGGAAAGCATGCACCATCGTTGGGCTTCAATTGTAACTTGTACAAAATTCTGTTAAAACTTTAACAAAATGCGAGTGTGAGGGGAATTGTTAGACAATAGGAAATGACCCGTTGGTTAACAGAAACTATAATGCACCCAGTATCAATTGAATGGCACCACTTACCCTCTTTCAGTAGTTGAGTTTGCGTAAGTGCTGCAAGCTTCTGCTTGAGCTGTACATTCTCCGCATTCAATAAGGCTCTTTCATGGTCGTAATAGCCCACCTTAGGCGAAAGCGAGGCGACTTCTGACTGCAGTAGAGGAATGTCCATCTTAGAAATGATATTTCCTTGAATTTTTCATGAAGGTAACAAAACGGAGGCTTTTCGAAGATTCTTCCACACACTGAAAAAGAAAATGCATGCCGTGGACTCGCAATAAACCAGAAACTACATGCGACGCAAAACCATGTGGAGATATGGATAGTTGTGATACCTCTAATACAATGACTTTCATTTCGAGCTCAGAGATGTATTGCAACTTCCTTACTCGTGATCTTTGAGCTGATTGTCTGTTGACAAGGATACTGAAATAATAGAGGTATATTTAATCCGACTATCTTAAAAACATGAGAAACACACTAGATTTGAACCCAGAAGAAACTCACATAAAGATAAAACTATTCCTGAAAGCAGAAAGGCTGCACAGAATTCGCACGCAACTACTGATACTAATCCAAGCGCATGAGTCAAACAAACAAGAAGCAAAACAAAACACGAAGAGGTTAAAATGGAGACGAAATGCACCGTTTGGCTTGCTTTGGATCCACCTTTTCAGAACTAGTATGATCGTCATGAAACTGAACTGAAGCATCACCGCCCTCTTCACTTCCTACTTCCAAGTCACTTCTTAGCCTCTCATAGCTTTTGGTACGAGTATCGTCGTTAGAGTCGTCACTGTGACTGTTACTTTCAGAAGCAGTTGAAGGATTCTCAAAAGTTGCAGTAGTACTCCAATTATGAGCTCTTCTTCTTGATCCCAACGGACTGTCACCACTAGGGCTAGGAATAGCTAAAGTAACATGCTTACTGGCCTTTCCTAAGCCCCGACCATTCTCTGGAGACCCAGATTTTGCCAGATTAGAACCCACATGGTTACAACCCACTAGGTTTTCATGTCTAGGCTGGTGTCTTTGAAAAGGCTCATCATCGCGAATTCTAGAGACGTGTTCTTTGTCCGGCCTGTAACTGAAGAGCGACAACCAATTCAAAATTGTCAATACGCAACCAAGATGTCAAATTCCTAGAAGTTGAACTCCGTTAAGCTACAATAGAAATCCCCAAAACCAGATCTGAATTCTCATAGCATCTAGAATTCAATTATATAACATGTTTCAATGCTTCCTGCTTCGAAATATTAAGAGGCTTCTGTAAACTAGACGCTTGTAACGTGACCTTAAATTTCAGAAGTTGAATTGATTGAAGTGCACTGGTGCTTGGTTGTTCGCAGACGAAAACACTCACCTAATGAGGTTATGATCCCCTCTTCCACTCTTTTCGGGATATGACCAGGGACTCGCAGGTAACTTGTATGGAAAAATATGATCACCACTGTGAAAAAAGCACAACACTTGAATCAAGAGCAAATATTAAGTGAACTGTTACAAGACAGTCCTTATTGATACAATTTAAATTATTGCGTAAGTAGGAAGAACTAGTAATTACATAACACTGTTAATGTCTAGCTTAAATATTCTCCCATCAACCGCATGCCTCGCACTCTCTGTACAAAAGACACTTCACCTACAAAGCACACTCCAGCACAAGTTCAGATATAGACGACATCATCACGCTTGCAGTAGTTGTCGACTCACCTGTCAATATTCGCTTTCAAGCCTTTTCGATTGTTTGTTCTGTAAACAGGCAGCGATGGCTCTTGTAGTACGAACTCGTCTTCCTCTGTAACATTCTCTAAGTTGTTCATATAATGATAGGAGTTATCCACAAAAGCCACAGAATCACTCGATGATCGGCGATGTGAGCACTTCTTTAGCACAACTACCCCATCTGGAGATCCAAATCTGTCTAAGTTCCAAGTTGGCTGCCCTTGTGGGATGTACCCTGCAGAAGGACTACGCCTATGCTCACCGCCTCTGCTTGGTTGGCTTTGTGGAAGGCTGAATACTCCACTGTTCTCGAAGACGCTTGATGAACTAAACATGGAGTACCCGTGAGGACTTTTGGGGGGCAAGTGTGTAGGGTTCTTCATCGGATATGCCCAATTCACCGACTGGACATCATATGCCCCTGTGGAGACGCTATCCATATTCAGCAATCTCAATTATCCAACCTTAATACCCTGCACACATTACTATAATAATCAGGTGGACGACAAGTGTACAATTACATTGACGTCGAAGGACAAGAAGGAATGAAGACCTTGGTGTGACGAGGATGAAACGGCAGATCTTCTACCAAGAAGTATGCCGATTATATTAACCTGGGAACACAAGCATGAATACGCAGCAAAACTTGCACATGCCAAGGTAGTTCCAATCATCGACAAAAATACGATCAGCTTCTGAGGTTTGAAACCACGGCCTCCATAGCTCAAACCACATCCGTATACTTATCCAATTTTATAATTCCTGACAGCGAGTGCCTCTTAAGGACCGTTTCTCTCAAGCACTATGCCACCAGCTCAGTGTGCCATGAACAGAGAACATAGGGCATTCAATTTAATCTGCTACAGTCGGCAACGTAGGTTACTTAGAAAAACAACAACCAAAGACAGCAGCACAGGCCACCAGGCACTCCAAAACCGACAACTTAAACATCGACTGCAAAACCAGCCCTCTTTTCTTGAACGCCCAACAGAAGACGACACCCTGATATTCCCATGCTCTTAACAGTTCTTCTCTATGTTCCAGAGCCCACCAAGACTTCAACGAATACCATAACTATTTATGGAGGATATTTAATCAGCAAGAAACACTCGCCAGAAAAAAATTGCCCTCAGCAAAGTAAGCACAAATGGTCACTTAAACCATGTCACGCTCCGCCTGATGAAAACTAACCTAACTCAGCAAAACGAACACAAACTAGGAAGGAAACTTGTAGAAAAGTTACAATCAACCGGGGAGTCTGCAAGCCGAAAAGACAAAAAGGAGAGACCCATAAACTACGTAAACCTTCGGGCACTCCCCCTCGCCCGTACCAAGAACCTACGTCACTAAAACGGTTTAGCAACCTCTGAATTTGATGTCAGGGCTTGAGCAGTCTGTCATTGCGAGTGCATTTAGCGTACTTGCAAGGCTGCAGCTGAAATAACCCAGACGGAAATTGAAACCATAGTTCAGAACTGTGACGTGGTGAAGATCATGGCGCACCGACGAAACGCAAGTAGCCATGATTTCTGAAGGAACGGACATCAGGAGCCTTTACTGCACATCTCCTGATACAGAGTGCTAAGGGATGGGAAGACTTGTGGAAATAGATGCAACTTATTGTTTTGGCTACTCGGCAGTTAGCTTCCTGGTACCCTCCTCGCCAAATCTATTCAAATGTTGCGGCTACTTTGCGAATGATTTAGGATCCCAACCCTCTGATACCCCTCCTCCCCCATCGACTTTAATCGCAAGTTGGATCTAATCCAAGCTCTGGAACTTCCGTTTCAAAAACGTTTGCAAGGACATATCCTATGCAAGAAAGCGATAGGCCAATCTCCTAGAAGCTTGATCTCTTAAGCGTCGTAGAAAAAACACACTCTTCGAAAAAGATCTGCATTATCTCTGCAACCCAACTCAATTCCTCCTGAAACCCAACTTGCTAAACACTGAATTGGGTGCCAATAATTCGTACCTTTCCCGACTAAAACGAGTGCGTTCGCTGTAGTTGATGATTACATCAACTACCTCACAATCTGATTGCACCTCGAATTTCCCCGCCCGCCCGATTCCGAGAAAACACTTCAAGCGGGCCTACTTCTCTTTTCGATGCATCGAATTTTCAGAGTTCAAGATGGGTGCTAAAGGTTATGACTGACCTGACAAATTAGAAGCCTGTCTTTAAAATACTCCCGTTCAAATCTTATGACTTATTATTCGCCTTACTAGTCGAGGAACAATAGAACAAGATATCCTCCGCAGAAATATGGCCTCCAGCAAAGAAAAGAAACAGCATCTTCGGAGCTAATTTCACTGTAGAACAGAAACAAGCTTCGACACAGACAACCTCGCAGCAGCGACCGAAATAAATAAAAGGGAAAGAAACAAGAGTCACGAAAGCGAAACTGATCCCCACACCACTTAACTATGCTTATCACACTTTTTTGGCACTAACAAAACCAGCTGTCAAAAACTGTTCCGGATATCTCCCGTTGCCACACCAAACTCATAAACTGGACCTTGAAAAGGTGCTTTTCGACAAAGTGGACAATCCTCGGGTCGCTTCGGGAATGACGAGTGATACCACACCGACGACGACGACGACGACACGAAGATATTGCATTCTACAGAGTCTGCACTCAATCATTCCAGAAACTCACTGTATCCTGCGGCTGTCGCTAGCCCGGTTTCGCATGCACTCCACCCAACGTGCAAAACTGCTGATATTCTCCTCTACTCGTAAAACACCCAGCCGCTCACCTAGATGCACTGATCGCAACAGTTGCCCACTCACAACAAGATCAAAAAAAGGCCCAAAGCCAAAAATTGGTAACTACTAGCGAAGCCCAAACGCCTGTGTGCGACTCGCATGTATACACGGAAACAAAAACACAGGGTGGACGCTGATTCTCCTGCAAATCTAAGCCTGTGCATGCAGCTACCCGCCCTGCATGCTCCCGCACTTCCGGTATCCAAGCTCGTATTCACGACAGAGGCCCGCCAATCAATTCCAAAGATTACAAACAACCGAAGCAAAATCGACGCCAATATCCACCTGGTCGCCTTTTCATAGCCCTAAGCCACTACCTCTCAAGCTGCCCCTGGACAAACGCAAAAATTGTCACCACATCACCCTACTCACCATGCGCTGAATCGACGCTACATGGCATCCTTCCAATCTAACTACGATCGCAGAATTTACTCTCCTTTCGCCACGTCGTGGCACCCCACAGAGTGACAACTTCAGTCTCACGCTTGAAGTTAACTGGGGCGACCGGAAGTCGAAGGGAGAAGTGCTGAACGGACGAAATATCCTGGCACGTTTTGAACACCGACTGGCAGTCGGATTGCAAGACTCACCGTCAATGAATGCGTCCACCTGGCGACAGGATCGCCCTCATCCTTGCCCTTCATGAATTTGCTGGCATCTCTTCATCTCTGCTATACTCTGTAAATGCCATATTCTCTCACTAGTCATAGTTTTAAAAGCACGGTCTTCGTTCCATTTAGTGTTGCTCGCACTGTAACGATGGGTCTCTGTCATTCGTAGTGCTTGGCCTATTTCAACAGTTAGCTACTAAAATTATGGGTTTCGTGGAATTCTATTATATCTCGCACAAATCGACTGTAATTGTTTGTTATGTGTTCTGTAGTTTACAGTAGTTTCCAAAACTAGAGGGTCAGCATGGGAATGTAATTGCAAGCTCCATGCAACAATGTTTTAACAATTGTGTTGTGATCCTTTTCGTCATACTGTAGCAATGTAAATTGTTTTATGGCCACATGGCATGCATGGACAAATACCCAACAACTCAGGCAACAACTGGTGGGTCCATGAGCATTTCTGGTGAGGTGATGCCCTTGCATTTGGCAATGCTGTGTTGCGTATTTCCTGAGAATTGTGTGACATTGTCAGGCCAACTTTAACTCTAGTTAGGTTTTTTCAAATTAAAATTCTCTCTGTGTGTGAATCAAGGATTAATGTTCAAGTCTGTGGATGTTGTTTTTGTAGTTGAAACTTACATAGCAAATGGGAATCAAGGAATGTAATATTTAAAACTCTCCTTGGAACCTAAATCATAGTTATCAAAAAAGAAATTCAAATTGTTCAAAAATTTTCAATTTCACATTTAAGCCCCAAGTTTTTACACAGATTTTAGTGAACCAATGGATAGCTTTGCCATGAAATTTATTGCATTAATGTTGCTACTGTTACACTCTTCCCTATTACATAGAGTCATAAGTTAGCAACATATTTATTTTGATAATAATGATAACAACATAAAACAAATCATATTAGATAAACTTGTTGTTTTTTCTGGTAGCAACTGAATTTTGTAATTGGCATTTCCATTTCACTGGCACTTTCTTAATTCTTATGCCTCTTTTCTTCACTATCACACAAGAAACTTCCATTTGAGCAGCCCTTGTTTTTATTGGTTCCATCTCCCACAGGATAAGTGATTGGTTTCTCAAAGCCTACCTTCTTTGTTTTCTTCTAAAGAAACGTCCATGACTTTGTCACCTCATCTTCTCATCTTCTTTTTCTTTATCATCTACATTGTTGTCATCATCTTCATCTTCTTTTCCTCACAACTACCCACACCCCTTGGATTGTGAACTTGGTCTTGGTATGCTTTCCTTGATTGCAGCAGCCCACTTCCACAGTTTTGGCAATTTAATGCTCGAATAGGGCCCCAAATGATTTCTGTGCAACCAAATCATACAATCCCTTTCATCCACAAAACCCACATGAACAAACAACAAACAAACATCAATAAAAAGAAACCCAAATGGTGAAACTTCGAGTAGTGGATCACTCCCATCCCAAGTATGTTATTTGCAGAAACTACAATGGATTCTGTGTAGATCATGCCTCTAATAAGAGAGAGCATATCCAAAAGATCAGTGAAGTTAAATATCATAGCCAATTATGCCAAATACCGACCCAAAAAAGTACAGAGTGTGGAGATCATACACGAAAGTAAGATCCCTTTTCCTTTTTTTTGGAGAACCCCATTCTGGAGCACGGACACTTTTCACTATAGGCATCTGAAGGGAACCAAAGCTCAGAACTCTTAGCATATCCATAAATAAAGTGAAATAATTATTAAAAACATCTTTGATTAGCTGGATCCATTGCATTATTGGCTGTAACCCCACTTTGTCATTCAAACATCTTCTATCGTCCTTTCATTCTTAACGAATTTATGAATTTGTTTGTATGTTAATTTTATAGGTATAGTGATGAGATTGACCCTGATTACAATGATAGGGCAGCAAATCAAGCTTAAATTTAGACAACTGAAGTAGAAAGTAAGTACTGGAACTATTTACTGTGGGGTCAAGCGAGATTCGTCTTCGTCTGGATGAACGAAGTAGCGACGCTTCTTCATCTTCCATCAGCTTCTGATGATGAGAGCCCTTGTGGGTGCAGGACTTACAGGACTTTACTTCTCATGATGCTTGCGCAGGACTAGAAACGAGAGTAGGCAGGCGAGTTAATATCATATGAGTGTGGTACTAAACCGAAGCGTCAGATCATGACGACCTAAGCTTAGGGTTTAAGCCCAATTGGTAGAAGGCTCCACGGAATCCATTGACGCAAATCCCAGCTCCACCAGAATCATTGGTGGTAGTGGGGACCTTGACATGAAGGGAGTGGGTGTCACTAGTTGCAGCCAGAGAAAGCGAGAGATCGAGAGATCGAGAGAGAGACACCTCGCCTCTCTTGCTGACAGCATCTGTTGGGAAGTTCATATGATCTTGTGGAGGGACTGTCCCGTCCAGCTGCACCGCGGAATGCCTTCTCTGCCAAAACCAGCCCTGCCATTTCCAAAGACCACCAGGAAATTAGTAGGAGGGGTATGAAGTATCAGAAAGGTGGGCTTGTGTCTCTCTGGTGTCGGCTGTCTTGGCAGTCTGGAAAAAACGCTTCGGTACATATGTTAATACCCGTGCAGCATGGCGAGTGTGTGTGAGAGAGAGAGCAGACAGAGGACAGCACAGGAATGTACAATCAATCTGTGACTCTACTGCAGACTGAAACATCTTCTGCCGGTGATTTTTGCTCTGTGTACATGCCGATTATATCGTTATTGATAGCAACAGTGTGCGTACCCACTTGGAAGACGTTGCGAAAGTAGAGAGATTAAACTCACAGAGTCGAGTTATGGGGCATTGGCTTATTTGGTTCTCGTGATGGAATGAAGGTGGAGTGGGGACTCGGAGAGCTTGAATCCAGTCGATGAGTTGTTCCGAAGAATTGGTATTGAGGGGTCATGATTTGTGAGCACTGAGCATACACTGCCAAATGAAACACGCTAGACCATTCTGTATACAATGATCGGGTGAGGTCTACCAGTAGTTCTGAACAGTGAGTGGTCTAGGAATACTACAATCCTTTGAAGAAGAGCAGTAGTTCATCAGCTTTTGAGCTTGGTCAAGTGTTCAGAGCAGTAATCACTTCATGTCAGAAATTGCAACGTAATAAGTTTCTTGATTCTGACATCATCGAAAACAATTTACCTGCAAAGGATGCTGTTTACCTGATTTTTATATTTGTTTATTTGTCCCGAATTTTAAATAAAAAGTTAAGACTTGGTCTTTAGCGGTATGGAAACGTACTGGTACGTGAAGCTCATGTGTTGAGTTCGGTTGCCTGAAAATTGGGCTTTAGGAAAGGCGTTTCCTATCTTTTCAACCTCTTCACTTGACAAGTAGACCTCGAAAGACGTTATGTTGGAGTCGAGGTTTGCAATTTTAGTTGTATTAGGGATGGAAACCTCATCAAGCACTCCATGTTGTACCCATGCTTGTGGAAGCCGGTTCATGCTGCATCCCTTCATCCTCCTCGCAATCTGCCTCATCCACTCCAGCAGCCTTTCGTTGTTTCTTAAATTGTCTCCTTGAACAGGGGAAAGTTTTTCTGCATCCCGTTGCAGGATAATCGGTTTAAGAGTATATATATAAATATATAAATATATATACATATCCCATACACATGGTATAAAAGTATCTCATACGTATCAGGTACATGCAGGAGGCAAAAGAGAAATGAAGGGAAAGCGTAGAGCAAGTTACAATGCGAGAGTCGGTATTGACAAGCTCTTCCCTATTATAGGTACCACACAAGAATCCCCGACCAATGCCGAGCTCTCTGCATTCTCAAACACACATGAAAGTCTTTTAGCTTGGTGCTGCGCAATGGTAAAAAGAAGGTAACACCAACTAACTCTTAAAGTTGGTGAAGAATGAGAGAGGATAACAGTCATGGGCTCGCGGTATGTCTGATACATCGGCTTCCAAGAGGCCCAAGTACACTTTGCCCGCGCTTACAAGCTCACTCATAGCCCCCACCTACATACAAACTTGAACAATCTAATGAAAGCTCAAAATTGCACGTCTAAAGTGCGCGCCTGTAAGGCTCTAGATCTGCAATGCATAAAGCACTTGAACTAGCCAGGATAGATCAGCTGATTGATTTTGTGAGATCCAAGCATCTCACTTCCTACTCAAATAGTACACGGCAGAAATAATCATAATCTCACTGCATTGAATTTAAACACCGACGTTCTTCACTGTTCCGTACATTACATTTCACCAGAAATGACTCAGGCCGGGTCCATACCGTGGACCCAAACGAATGTCCACA